CAGGATCTACAGGCTCTCACTACATAGACTGGACTCATAGTGATTCTCCTGTTTTCAGCCTCCCAAGCGCTGAGATTACAGGTGTCTCATTCACCATCTCAGGGCGCCCTGGGAGTGGGGCTGGCACAGCAAGCCAGGGATTGAACCCCTGGCACCTGCATCTACCTAAGCAGGCACTTTAGTCTGCTGAGCCATCTAGGAAGGCCTCATTCTACCTCGTAGCCCTAACTTTGTCTTCCTGTCAAAGAGAAACCTGGCTCTCTTTATCTGTGGTGTATTTATTTCATTGTTCAATTCAAGTATACACAGATTTACTAAACAGTGCATGATATTGGTATGTGATTCTTTTTGTCTGTAGCCAGACACCATCCAGTCATACTGCTATTTCCTACAGTTGTTTGAGTTCCTTTATTCCTACACCCTTCAGTGGGTCAGCTTGCTCATTTGTAATACAGCTTTATTTGCCTCCACTCAGATGGCCTGTTGGGTTTCTTCTACATAGCCTGGTTGGGTTTATTCACTGTTTATTGGCAATGTGAATCATTATTATGACTTTACGAGTCAGGGCTGTACAAAGACTGTACTCATTAGCCCTTGGAATTACCAGCATTTTCAATCTTAACCATACTAATAGGTGTGTAACAGTATCTCACTGTGGCTTTCATTTGCATTTCCCTAACAGCTGATGATGCCAAACGTACCTCATGTGTTCATTTGCCATCTTTACATCTTCTTTGGTGAAATGCCTGATCAAGTCTTTTATATATCTTCTAACAGGATTGTTTATTATGACATTAAATTTAGACCACACACACACACACACACACACACACACACACACATATACACATTCTAGATACAAGTCTGTCAGTCAGATTATTTGCAAATATTTTCTCCCAGTTTGTGACATGCCTTGTTCTTTTTTTCTTTCTTTCTCTGTGTTATGCTTTTAATTTTGTTTTTAGTACCAAAAATTGAATTCAAGGACGGGCCAAATAGCTCAAAGGGTTTAAGCACCTGCAAGC